GCATAACACAGGTTGTTGGTGAGTCTTCCTCCAATCCCGATGCCACATTCCTCCTCATAGAGCCCTGTCTCCTGTATGAGCTATTCCACAAATTGAAAAATTACAGAGATAGGATGAATCCCTGGCGTACACCTTTCCTGATTTTGAGCCATGTAGTGTTTCCTTGCTCTGTTCTGACTACTGCCTCCTGGTCCAAGTACAGTTTTCATATGAACAGATCAAGTATTCTGGGATTCCTATTCTTTTCAGAGTTAGCCCCCCTTTGTTGTTATTTACATAGTCAATAACACACAGATAGCCATTACTCTGGTACTCTGCTTTCAGCTAATGTCCAGCTAAGGAATGTTGGGTATAATGGCCCTAGGGCCACAGCAAGTCCTCCTAATTCTATTTCTTAAATGTACTCTACCCATCCCATCTTCATCATCCCACGCCACTGCCTTGATAGGAACTCAGATCACCTCTCCTTTGGTCTCCTGCAGCAAAATCTTAACTGCTTTCCCTCAAAAAACTTCACTTAGTTTTCCTTCTTGCACTCTATCCAGTATATTATTAATAAAACCTAGATTTTCTCACAACTCTAATTTTAAAAGTACGCCGATTCTCTATGGCCTACAGGGTTAAATCTAAATTCCTTAAAAGCGGTTTACTAAAGGTTTAGCAATCTGGCTTTACCTGATTTTACCAAGATCATTTCCTGCCACTGTGACCTACCTGAGATTCTGACTACACCAACAACACATGCCCTGTCACATTGCAGGGCCTTCCCCTCTGCTGTTTACTCCTCCTGGACTACCCGCCCCTTCTCCATCTAGTTAATGCCTATTCATTATCCACATCTCCTAAATTTGTCACCTCCCTACTGTTGACTTCCTTGAGTCATTCAGAGTTAGTAATTTCTGTGTTCTCATAGTCTTGTCCTCTGTGGCAATCTTTCATGCTGTTGGTTGCTAATGTGTTTTTAATACCCTTGCTATAGTTGAGAGATTTCTGGCTGTATAAATTCCATATGAATTTCAAGTGGGCCTCTGAAAACTCAGATTTTCCCCGTACGAGTCTTTATGGGAGGAGACTGTGCATCTTTTTTCTTGAGGAGCAGCTAGTGGATTCCAAAATTCAACCTTTTGATTAACAATTTAACACATACACTATGCCACCAGAGCTCCTTGGGCATATAACTAATAGCCAATTGTTTCTTGAAGAAATAGAAATTAAACTCAACCATGAATAGACAAAATAAAACCAATTTATAATATGAAATGTTGATTAAAATATGGAAAAACTAGAACTTTAATTGTTTGTATTTAATCATTCCAGTCATTTTGAAAAAAAATCATTTGACAGTGTTTACTAAAGGTAAGTATATAAATATATTAGAAGGATGTGCATGCAGTCTACTTCCATGCAATTAAATTACTTTTGAAAACCTACTAGAGGGTCACCTACGAGTTGGTTCTGACTCAACAACACACACACACACACACACACACACACACACACACGCACTCAGAGACTGAACTGCTGGAACTATATCCTACTGAAATGAATGCTTGTTTTCAAGAAGGTCTGTATCAGTTTTTAGCCTTATTCATAATAGCTTAAAACTAATAACAATCTCTATATTCAAATATAGTAGAATAGAAAACTTGTGATATATTCAACTAATCTAATACTATATAATTTTAACTGAACAATAGCATGAAGAAATATGAATTGTAATAACTTTCAAAAATAATCTAAAAAGAGGAAACAAGTACATATGAAATTCCAGAATGGGCAAAATTAATGTGGTGATAGAAGTTTAGATAGTGGTTAACTTCTAAAACAAAACAAAACAAAACTAAACTACAATTGGTGGTTAACTTTTGCAAGGAAGATATGCAGTTGGAGTGCCAAGATTTAGATATTTGAAATTTGAGAAATACTCTATGTCTTGATAATAATATAAAAGCACATACCTAAGGATTTTCTAGACTTTTTAACTGCACATTAAAAATTAATTATAATACCAGTCACATAAGTATACAAAAATAGAGCTTGATACAGTTAATGTGTTTTTTTTTTAACTGCATGGATGCTATACATTTATTTTTTAAAACGTAAATAAAAGGGCATGGAGGAAAATGTGCAAAAATGAATGAATGGAAATCCAAGTTCTGTATAAACTTTCATTAAAATCTCAATTAACCCCCCTAAAAGAAATAAAATTAAATGTGCATTGAATGAGTGAAGGAATGATTAACGAACTAGATCTTCAAATAGAAAAAGAAAGAAGGTATTACAAATGGACTGGTTCTGCACTGAATTTAAAAACAGTGCTCGGTTCTTCCACTTTTTGTACTCTGTTCTTTTGCTTACATACTGTTGTTGTTATGTGCTGTTGAATCGCTTGTGACTCATAGGGACCCTATGTACAAGAGCTCTGAATCCTCTATCCCATGCCAACCTCTCTGTCTCTGATACTCCTACTCCCATTACCCCAATCACCGAATCTATCCGTCTCATTGAGGGTTTTCCTCTCCTGTTCTATCCCTCAACTCTTCCAAACATGATGTCCCTCTCCAAGGACCGTTGCAACATGCCCAAAGTATGTCAGATAAAGCTTCAGAATCTTTGACTCTAAGGAGCATTCCAGCTTCATGCTCTCCAGGACAGAACTCTTTGTTCTCTTAGCAGACCATGGTACATTCAACATTCTTCTCCAGCACCACAGCTCAAAGGCATCAATTCTCTTTCTATCATCCCTAGTCCCTGTCCAGCTCTCTGACACATAGCACACGATTGCGAAGAGGATGACCTGGATCAGGTGAATCTTAGTGTCCAGCCTGATGTCGTTACTCTACAGAACTGGGGAGAGGTCCCTGACAGCTGACTTTCCTGATACTGAGGTGCTTCCTCAGAAAGCTGGACATAGAAATTACATATGACCCAGCTATTCCACTACTTGCAATATACCCTGAGAATATGAGAACTGAGACACAAACTGAGATTTGTACACTAATGGTCCTGGCAGCATTATCTACCATTGCAAGAAAATGGAAACAGCCCAAATGTCCAACCACAAAAGAATGGATTGGGAAATTATGGTACATTCACACAATGGAATACTATGCAGCACTCAAGAGCAATAACTTTGTAAATTATTACCTAACTTGGGAGGGACTAGAAAACATTATGCTGCGTGAACTAACTCAGTCACACAAGGATAAATATTGTATAAAACTGTTATTATGGAATGAGTGTAAGGATCCTGGAGGGGTGGGAAAGGTTGGAAGCAGAGGGATGTGGATGTGCAGGGGGAAGAGGTGATTAATCATATGGCTGTCCAATTTCATGGGTAAGGGGTGAGGGAAATTGAAAGAATTTGTTCAAATTTGTATTCTAATTTTGTAAATAAACTAGTAGGAAAAAAATTAAGACATTGAAAATAAAAAAAAAAAAAGTGTTGATTGTGGAGCCAAGCAAACAGACTTAACTATCTCTTCACTATCCATAATGATGCTGTATATTGGCCCAGTAGTGAGAATCTTTGTTTTCTTGATGTTGAGCTTCAATCCATATTGAAGGCTGCAGTCCTTTACCTTCTGCAACAAGCGCTTCGGGTCCTCCTCAGTTTTAGCAAGTAAGGTTGTGTCATCTATATAACGCGGGTTGTTGATGAATCTTCCACCAATACTGATGCCACATTCCTTCTCGTGCAGCCCAGAGTCTTGGATGATCTGTTCTGCATACAGATTGAAAAGGTATGGACACAAAATACATTCCTGGCAGACACCCTTCCCGATTTTGAACCATATAGTGTCTTCTTGCTCTGTTCTGACTACTGCCTTTTGGTCCAAGTATAGGTTTCGCATAAGCACAATCAAATGTTCTGGGATCCCCATTCTTCCCAGAGTCAGCCATAGCTTGTTGTGATCCACATAGTCAAAGCATTTGCGTAGTCAATGAAGCATAGACAGACATTCCTCAGGTATCCGCTTTCTGCCAAGATCCAACATTCGTTATAATATCTCTACTACCACAGCTTCTTCTAAACCCAGTCTGCACATTTTGCAGTTCTCTGTTGACGTGTTGCTCCAGTCGTTTTGGATAATTTTCAGCGGAATCTTGCTTGCATGTGTACTACTTGTCTTTATTATTTAATTATGACTGCAAGATTAAGGGGGAGAAAGTAATTAGTAAAGTAGATGAGTTCCTTGTGGGACTGGCATTTAATGTACTGTGAGGGATCTATCAAATAAACCTTTTGGGACTTGGAGAATATGCACAATTCCCCTCTTACTTTTTAAGCCTTTTGTGCTTTATGAGAGACGGCGAAAAGGAAATATTCAGACTCTTGAAGAGAAGAATAGGCACTTGTGTTTACAAACAAGAACAGAGATCACCTCGTTATGAAGTTGACCAAGCCACTCAAATGCAGGGCTGGAAGAGTCCTAATTGCTGGGCGGCCCGGATACGACGGGGTGCGCCTCTCTCATCCTTCTCCAGGCGGGGTTCGTGGTTAAGTCATTCACTCTGACAGCCTGGCAAAGACTGGGAGAGGTCAACGAATCCGCAGGGGACTGATGGCACAAACACCGGAGGCTCTGTCGAAACAAGGCTGGGCTAAGCCTCCCGGCCCAGAAAGGGGGATGCAGCCTCAGGAGACGCGCTGTTCAGTGTGTCCAGCAGGTGTCGCTGCCGCGCGGCCTGTGTGCGCCGCCAGGTTGGCCTCCCCGGGGATTCCCGAAGCGAGCGCCTCACCTGCACTCGCACCCCGCTCCGCCGCCGCCTCACGGGGGCGCTGTGCCGCTGCCGGGCTGCTGCCGGGGACGGGCCGCGGGCGCTCACAGTCGGCGCTGCCCGCGTCCTCTCGCTCTCGGCCGTGCCCCGCGCAGGCGGCCAGGGGGCGGGGTCCGACGTTGCGCTGGGAAAGGCGGGCGAGCTGGCACCCCAGGATGTTCTTCCCCAAGGGCCAGCCCGCAGAAAGGGCAGCGTCCGAGCCACCGGCGGACGAGAAGATGCCGCTGTCGTCGTCGCCCCCTCGGGGAGAGTCCGGGGAGTGCAGCCCATCCAAGGCCCCCAAGAAGCACAGCTCCTTCCACATCTGGCGCTCCAAGAAGAAGCAGCAGCCTTCCCCGACCGAGTGTGGAGTGTTCATCCCGCACCCGCCCTCCGCGCTCCTCGAGGAGGCCAGGTAAGTGCCGCCGTCCTGATGCCCCATCCCACCTCCTCCTAGAGCAGCTCAGCCCTCCACTCCTGTCCCCTGGCCCCCGTCCTCTCCACCCTCAGCGCCACCAGACACCCCCCCCCCCGATGAAAGCCCAGGGGTCCTCTCCTCCCCCCCACCCCCGGGGCAGAACTTCAACAGGGTCCCAGACACTCAGATGGGGCCACTGCAGGTGGACCAACACCTAGGTGGTCGCTGCCTCTAACCCAGCACCTGGGAGAGAAACTTGTGCCCATTGTTCTATTTATGAAGTCTCTGCACTGTTGATCTGTAAGCTCAGAAGGTCTGGAGGATAGTCAAGAGTTATAACCATAATCAATGATGATATAATCTCTACCGTGGGCTTATGTAATACTTTTGGTAACTCTGCTTTTAGTGTGCAGCTCTTGGAACACTCTGCAGGTATAATACTTCATGATCAGGATGGGAGAGGAAGTGTCAGGGAGGGTTACTCCTTTCGTGAATGGAGATACTGAGAAAGGCTGGCTTGTCTGCAGTGAAATGGGCAGGCAGGACGTCGTTATTACAGATTTAATGGCTTTTGTGACTTTTTCACAATTTTGTGGTGGTTTGATCCTCAATGTTCATTTTTACTGTCAGAATTGATAGGGATTACAATCAGTTGGAAATAACAGAAAATTTATGTAACTAGGAAGATACGGAATGTTTTTTCATGGAAGACAGTTGGTAATGTCTAGAAAATGTTTCTTTATATGTTTCTGAAATAAATTGGTGTGACATTGAGGGCCAGGCTAGTGTTGTATTCATGCAATTTCAAAAGATTTTCCTCTTTTAGTTTAAAAGGTTAATTTTTCAGTCTTTTTTCATGAATTTAGTAAAAAATTGCTGAACACCAGGCACTTTTAGCAAAGTATAAATCTTGTTCATTGCAGTTGAGTTTGGATTTGACTCACAGCTGACCCTCTAAAGGTTTTCCAAGGCTATACATTGCATGGGAGGAAATTTTTGGTCTTTCTCATGTGGAAACACTTGTGCATTCAAATAGCTAGAGAGGCACTGCTTCTGGCTCAGCAGCACGACTCCTTGGGACTGTGCCACCAAGACTCTAAGTAGCAAGTGTTAGAAAATACAGAGCAATGAGAGTATTGTCTGTCCCCAAAGATTCTTTGGAGTCACTAGAAGAGACCAAAAAGAAACAGGAGCAAATGCAATAATGAGTGCCTGCATGGATGAGAGTTTCTAGGAAGGTCTCCTAAGGAGGAGAATGACTGGAGTGGATTAGTCAGACCCAAAAGGGGAGGGAACAGTTCCAGGTAAGCTTGCACCATGAGCAGTGACAACCCTAGGAAAATAATGTACAGTACTTCCCAGGAAGCACAAAAGAGGCAGTCTGTAGATGTGACAGGTGAGAGGGGAGGAATGGTAAGACAGAAGATACATTTTTTTCCCTTCTGTTTTATCATCCATAGTGGTAACAGGAACAACAAATTTTGTCTATACAAAGACTTACAATGCAAAATCTAGATTGACATTTCTAACAAAATAGTTATCTGTTGAATTTCTAACCAAATGCCATAAGTAACAGTGAGTGTTTCGCCCCCATTCACTCAGTAGCGATGTTAAACATTTCCATTTCAAGGTGTTCTTTTTTATCTGACCTGCTTCCATCATCAACTGTCAATCAAAATACAGATGTAGATAATTTATTCAAATAAAAATAATTTAGACTATCATTTAAATAGAAGTTTTGCTTCTCTACTTGAGCCTCTTTTTTCATTTCAATTTGGAAAGCACACATTCTTTCTACTGGAACTAAGATGAATATTCCAAAAACTAAATGTACTGATTTGTCTTTGGAGTATTTTTGAAAGGAGATCATCTTTAGAATATTCCATTAATTTCTAGAAGAGAGTATCTATTTCTGGTCAGAACCCACCCATAGGTGACCCTCTGGCAGGTTTTCAGAGACAGTTAAGCACACTGGAAGAGACTGCCCATCCTTCTCCCGCAGAGCAGCTGGTGGCCTCACACTGCCTTTGGGATGGCAGCACAGCTTCTTGCCATTAGGCCACCAGAGCTCTCTAAACCACAGTTAGGTTTCTTTAGATTTCTTTTCAGTTTCTGGCCAATGTCGCTCTTTTGTGCCATCTGATAATTTCTGCTCACTTCTGTGGGGGACCTGGAGGTGGTGGAGCTTGTCTGGTTATGCAGGGTGGCCCTTTGCATGAATGAGTAGGTGTGATCAGGCAGCTCCATTTACTTGTGGGGCTCATTTGATTAATATAATGGGCTTTCTGTCAGACAACAATGAATCAATACTCTTGCTATGTAACTGTAGGCATCCTACTTCTCACTCTAAATCTCAGTTTTTTTTCCTTTGTAAATGAAAACAATAGTAATTCTTACAGGGACTATTGGAATTATAAATCAGAGTTTATGTGATTAAATATAAGACCTTTTTACACAATATTTGGCACAAAGTAGAAACTCAGGTAATATAAAACTGTGATCATTTTCATTATAAAAGCCAGGAGGTACAACAGAAGAAAAATAGAGTAACAATGTTAGATGGGAAGGGGGAAACCATCTTTTCCTAGAACCACTTACCATTTCAGTGATGGGTAAAGTTTATTGATTAAAAATTTCTGTGTTCTGCAAATATATTAGATCTAGTATGTATGCATTGGACAGTTGCACAGTGAGTAGGCATGATAGAAAGAGAATTGATGCCTTTGAGTTGTGGTGCTGGAGAAGAGTGTTGAATATGCCATGGACTGCTAGGAGAACAAACAGGTTTGTTCTGGGGAAGGTGAAGCCAGAATGCTCCTTGGAGGCAAGGATTCTGAAGCTTTTTCTGACATACTTTGGGCAGGAGGGACTGGTCCTTGGAGAGGGACATCATATTTGGGAGAGGGAAGGAACGGTGCAGGAGAGGAAGACCCTCAGTGAGATGGATCGATTCCGTGATTGGGGTGGTGGGAATTAGTGTGTCGGAGATGGCACAGGATAGGGCAGTGTTTAAGGCTCTTGTACACAGGGTCACTATGAGTCGCAAGTGACTCGACGACACATAACAACAGCGAAAATGAATGCTTTAAAACTAATACCTGTCACATTTTTCTTTACATGAAATAATTTGAATATGGCTTCTTCATTCCCTGAAATTCATATGTAACTTTTTTTTTTTTCCAGCTTGGTTTTGGTAAACTCATTGGTACAATGTTATTTTTCCATGGAAATAAAGTAGCTGCTCTTTGAGTCAGCCTTAGGTCTTACCTTCAGTCAGTCTAGTGGTGTGTATAGAAGGGAATGGCAAGCCTTGAGCAGACTCCCTTTAGCAGCTATGAATGATACCATCATTTACATGGGTTTACACTTTGATTTAGAAAGTGGATTTTTTATGTAGGTTGAAATGCCTGTTCTACTTACTATTATACTCAGCTATGACATCCTAGGAAAGTTTTAAACCTCTTTGTATGTTACTTTCTTCATCCTCAAAATGGACATAATAAATAGGTTCTCATAAAAATGAAAATGTTACTTCACATGCAGTGTTCAAGACAGTGACTGGTACTTTGTGAGTCCTCAATAAATCTTAGCTGTTGCTCTTATTCTTATTACTGTGCTTCCCTTTGGGTAGTACTGAGTAGTAATTTTATTAACTCCCCTCCCCCCATGTAGTAGAAATGGTGGTTTCTTTTTTTAAATTTTTCCTCCAGTGTTCCTTTGATTAAAAATGGGCTATTAGCTAAAAGTCAATGCAATGAATTAAAAAAGACCATCATAAAAATGAATTGAACCCTGAACCTAGAAGCAGATATTAATGTTCTCTGCTGTGTGAGAAAGAAGTGGATGTACCTTGTAATCGTCTGAAAATCAGCAGACCTAGTTTCAATGGAGGAGTATAGCCAGTGCCAAAGGGCAGAGTATCTTCAATGGATGGGCGGAGACCTAACTTGGAATCAAGGTACCAGCTCAAGTTTCAGATCTGTAAACTTCTCTTGCATTTTTTGTTATTTAGTGGACCTTTTACACCTATAACAACAACAATAAGAAGCACGCAACTAATCACTGTATATATCATTAGAAGGCTGTGAGGCTACAAAACAAAATAATAGCATTGTCTTCCGGTTGATGCTAACTCATAGCAACCCCACATGTTACAATGGACAGCTGCTGCTCCCCAAGACTTTATTGGTTAAATCTCTACAGGGGCTTATCACCAGGCCTTGCCTTTGTGTTATCGTTCAAAAACTCTCATTGTCATTGAGTTAGAACTGACTCATGGTTGACCCTCCATTGAGTTTCTTAGGCTGTAGGTCACATGGGAGGAGATTGCCCATCTTTCTCTTGCAGAACCATTGATGCATCCAGACCATCAGAAAGGCATAGCAACATGGCTCTCTATGGGCTACACCACTAGAGTCCCTGTGGTGGGTTCAAACCACCAACAGCTGAGTGTAAATGTCTTGTACCACCCAGGAAACACATGCTGAGGTTTGTTTTTGCTTTTAGGTACCATCGAGTCAACTCTGACTCATAGTCATCCAGCAGACACCATTTTCCTGATCTTCCTATGCCATTCTCATAATCTTCCATTGTTGCAGTCACTGTGTGAATCCATCTCACTGAAAATCGATCCTCTTTTGCACAGTATTATCTGGAAGACTTTGTTTTCCTTCAGAGAATGATTTTTCAAAATATCTTAGAAAAACATCTTGGAACTATAAAATGTTAGTCCTCATCATTTATATATTTATATTTGATTCTAGTTTTCAGTCTTTTGTGACTGGTTTAATGTTTGGAACTCTAAAAAGGCTTAATCATTTTTTTAAACATAAAATACTTAGCCAGATAAGTCTGTTTTTTGCCCAAGCCATGGTTTTGTTTTGTTTTTTTTTTAATTGCTTCCTGTTCATCTGAATGTTGGGCAATGAATAAGGATGACAGAAGATGAATCAATGCCTTTGAGTTGTGGTGTTGGAGAATAGTACTCAATATCCCAT